TACAATGGTACGCGTACGTGAAAATAAGAATAGTAGACATGTGAGAGTAACAAATAAAACAAGACGGCAATAGAATGCATGTAAAAAACTTGCTATTGTTACATACTTTGAAAAGCACCCAAGTCAGAGTATTCGAGCAACAGCTACCAAATTTAATATTGAACCAAAACAAGTAAGAGATTGGCATAACAAAAAAAATGAGTTAATGAATGTCTCGCCTCATATTAAATGAATGAATAAGGGAAAATCACCTAAATATCCTGAGTTAGAGAAGGCTATTTTTAGTTAGGTACAAGAATTACGCAGTAAACTCAAACCTGTGACTCGTGCTATGATACAAATTAAGGCCAAAACATTATCTCAAAAATTACCTTACATTATTTATTATCCTGGTATTACTGAAAGCAAATTTAGCAATAAGTGAGTTGATGGCTTTATGACTCATTACAAATTAAGTAATTGGCGTCGAACCATCCGTAGCTCAAAAACTCCTTGAAGATCTGCGATTGCAACAACAAGAGTTTTTAAGTTTTGTATTGTATAATCGAATTCAATATAATTATCCTCTTGCCTTAATGGGTAACATAGACGAAACCCCATTATCATTCGACCTTCCAAATAATACTACAATTGATAATTGTGGTGCAAATACAGTTTCAATTCGGACCTGTAGATATGAAAATCATGTTTTACCGTTGTACTTACTTGTTTAGCTGATGGGACTAAATTGCCTCCAGTTATTATCTTTAAATTAGTTAATGTTCCATGGCAAGTATTTCTCGCTGGAGTTTATGTGCGTACAAATCCTAAAAGATGGATAAATGAAGATGAGATGCTATGGTGGATTAAAAATGTGTGGAATTTGTGATCAAGAATATTAGTAGACCCATGTTCACTTTTAGTTTTAGATTCATTCACTGCTCATATTACTGATATAGTTAAACGTTGATTCTCTGAAAAAAACACAAATTTAGCTGTAATTCCAGGAGGTTTAACCTCAAAAGTTCAACCATTAGACGTTGCTATCAACAAATTATTTAAAGCAAGGGTAAAGTATACAAATTATATATTATATAAATAAATATAATAGATTTCTTTATTTATCTTATATATATAGGTGCGAAATTACTATAACGATTGGATGGCCAGTGAAATTCATACTTTTACTAAAAAAGGTCATATTTAATATTCTGCATACAATTTAATTGCTCAATGGATATTAGACACATGGAACAGTATAGATCCTACACTTATTCGTAAATCCTTTAAGTGCTGTGGTATTTCTAATTCACAGGATGGAAAAGAAGACCATCTAATTTTTGACTATGATCAACTTGGACCACAAACAAATTCACATAATCATATATATATTCATGAAGAATCAAGTGATATTAGTGAAGGCTCTAGTGTTAATACACAAGAAGGTTCTAGCAATAATACAGAAGAAGGTTCTAGCGATAATACGGAAGAAAGTTCTAGTAATAATATGAATGAAAATTTGAATGTTGATACAAATGAACGTTTAAATACTTATACAGGTAAAATTTAAACTTTAAATTAATAAGTTTATATATTAAATAATTTTGGTAACTTAATTTAAATTTAGTGGAAAAAATCAATTTAATCAGCGATGATGATAGTCAAGTTAATGGAAATGAACATGGACATACTAGTGAAAACGAAGATAGTCATGTTAATGAAGATGAATATAACAAAGATGAAGATAATTATACTAGTGAAAATGGTAGTCATTTTATTAGTGATGATGAAGATAGTTATTACAACATAGGAGAAACTGACTATGTTAATGAATGGGTTTAAGTAAGTAATTTTATTAATTTTGTTAATTTTATTAATATCTAATATCAATGTGTTCTATTTTATATTAATTTATTAAAACTTTTTATATATCTAGTTTTAAATTGTTAGATAAAATTAGCAATATAGATACTGTAATATTTTGGCTATGACTTTAATGCATATATTACTAGTAATTTGAATGCAATTTAATAAAGCATATCAATTCTAATAGAAAAGTCTTTAAGCTTTACTCATACTTTGCTAAGTTTATTATCGTATTTTAGTTTTATGTATTATGATAGCTAAATTTTTTTTAGTTATATAAATAAATAGTTAAATGATTATGATAAATCTTAAATTAAAAATATATTACGATGTTAGTTCAAGTAAATAAATCATAAATTATAAATTATACCCGGGTCTTTTTTACGGGGGTATTATAATAAGTGAAATTTATATTATACCTGGGTATTATTCTATAATCACAAATGCAAACCCATGAATTGTACCCGGGTCTTTTATATCAGGGGTATTATAGCAAGGGGTACTGTAGTTAGTACTATACGGTATGCTTGAAATATTATCACTAATTTATACAAGTTAGGTTTGGTATAAGGATTAAGAATGTTCGTATGAATTGTATTTAAAGAAGATGATAAGTTTATTTTTTTCTATTATCCAGAAACTCTATTAATTTGGTAAGCATATATTAATTTCTAGTATATTACTTTTTATCAAATACATTACAAAATATATAACAAAATCTAAACCTTCTAAGCTATTTGATATTAATGATAAAAATAAATACTAAAAATATGTAATTGCTTGAAGATTAGATTTAATTAAATTAATAGTTTTTTTGTTACAGTATCCTTAATATGATATTTGGTATTCATATATTATCTTCTCTCTGCTTTCTTAGAATTATGCTTATATTCTGTTAAACCAATCTATTTAATAAATAATGACAATAATTAGGATGATCATGAAGATAATAAAGACAATTCTTATTGAGATAATACTATAGACAAATATTTTGATAAACTCTATAATAATATTTTTTAAACTATTACTTATCTTGATTATTACAAAAATTATTCAATAAAATCTAAATCTTTAGGTTTACGCTTGACTCTATTTTACTCTCATAATCATAAAAATAAAATAGTAATTTAATAAAAATCTCTTATTTGATTTGCAATATACAATGTAGAAGACGATAAACCTTTCTTCTACTAATATCTTCTTATAAAAATATTTGTGAGATTAGATAAAGATTTATTAGAAAAATATGCTATCTACAAAAAATAATTTTATTTTATGTTTTTTATAAGATACAAAGAAGCTATTATTCATTTTTGTAAAATTATCTAGAACAAAAAGATGATTTATTAAAATTATATAACTTAATATTAAACTCTATTCTACTTGCCTTTATAAATCAAGACTTAACTGACTTGATTTTTAATTAACTACTCTTCTTAGAAAAATACTGTCTTTAACTTAATACTAAAGCTTTGTTATCTCTCAATACAAGCAATATAAGATTTATGATATGCTCTATAACTTGTAGAACAAATCATCTAATAGAAAATATTACTATCTTTTTCTAACAAGTCTAGTTGGAACTGGTAAAACCTTTATAGTTTTTTAAATAATTTACTATTTTTAATCAAAAAAACAACTATCTGTTACTTGTATTTACTGGTATTGTTACTTAGATAATTGATAAAAAAACTCTTTATTTTGCTTTAAAAATTAGATACTATGATGAGCATTATAAATCATTAACTCTATTAGATTCTAAAAATATAGCTGATCTATATTTTTCAATCTCCTGTTTGAAAAAAATTCTTTTCTTTATTTCTAACTATACCACAATAATAATATGATAATGCTAACTTCTATAATATTTTACAAGAAATCTTTATCTATAAAAGTAAACTTATAATTCAATCAAAGGTCAACTCTAAAATCAACATTGACAAATTTTATAATACTACCCATATTGTTGATATTTGTTAAGTAATATATAAAATTAATATATTTAATTGTTTACTATTCGATAATAACTATAATGATCTAATTATTTCACTATCTAAAGACATACTTAATTATGAAATTCTAGATGAATTATATTCAATCCACCAATTTAAATATTCAACAAACTTATCTAAATTTATATACTTACAAGAAGATGCCTGAATGATATTTTTAAACAACAAACTGTTTAATGAAAATATTTGCAATGATTTGATTGGTGTTATGACTAGAATAATTGATAATGATAATATAAAAACTATCTTTTCTGCTTTCACTAACATAAATAAAATCATTATATAGAAAAAAAAAACTATTTTGAAATTGATAATAACCCAGCTTTTCAACAACAATTTTCATTTCAGAATACCTTTGCCTTTACTATCTATTAGAGTTTTTTTTTTTTTTTTTTTTTTTGGTTTTAAAGTAAGGCCTTGCTCATATCTTTATTAGTAATAATTTTTTAATAGTAACAAAATAAATTACTACAACGCAGTTGCCGAGGCTTCCACTTGTAGTCAGGGCTAACCATTAAACCACTAAATATAGAGATTTACAAAGCTACTAC